ATCTTTTTAAGTGGGAGAACTTGCACAATTGGTGGCTGACTAAATACTTTTTTGCCCCACTATATAACCCAGAAGCATTACAAAAGCAGGAGTGATTATGAAATACGAATTACAGTTTTTCATTAGTGAAACATTACATTAAGTGAACTGGGCATAAATAACAGATACATAATCCAGAAATGAGGATATTAAGTTATTTAGTGTGTGTATTCCAGATATTAAAGCAACAAATTTTGATAGGAAAACCTTAACAACAACAAATTGCCCAGTACTTTCAGTGAAGACAGCAGCTGATTACTTGCACCTTGAAGTCAATATCCTCTTGTATCCCTTTCAGAATTGACTTTTGTCCTAGTTGCTTGTTCTTGGTTTTACATTTTGTTCTACTCTGAAATGTAAAACACTACTCCTAATTTTACAGAATATGAAACCACGCACTACAGAATTTTTTCCCTACAGCACCTTTCCCACACAGTCCATTCTGTTTGAAAATCTGCTATTAAGGGTTCCCACTATCTGGAGAATTAGAGTCATAGAATCTATGGAAAAGGAGAATCTGCTGTGTTAATCATAATGTTTTTCCATTTAAGAAATATGTTAATGGCACGACATCCATTACAATAGAGTTCATTCATCCTCCGTATGTCTGGGCACATCTCTGTATGTTACTCTATTAAACTCAGTCTCCTGCAAAGGAAAGGTCTCATAACTGTTTATTTTATATTTTGGATGTGATTTCTACTTTGCAAAGCCTACAAAGACTAGAGACCCACAACTTGCTTTAAAGTGGCTTTATCCCTTTTCAGGTAATAATTTATGGAACTTGCATGCCACCTCAACAACTCTGGGCTGCTCACAACAAAGAAATTACAATAAAATCAATAAAAGGGAAAGATAAAAGATGGCAAGTGCAATGAAGTGAGGGGTCCCTCTCCCTCGCTGAAGGCCTGGGTGAAGAACTTTGGAAGGGCCAAGCAGTGGTAGCTCTAGCAGTGTGTTGTCCAAACCTGGCCACTTTTAAGATGAGTGGACTTCAACTCCCAGAATTCCCCG